TGATCTCACATAAACCTGCGTTTCAGGCATCCCACCCTCCGAATCTTTAGCTTTTAGTTGTTCGGTATGGGTTCGAATACCAACGAAAGTACTGAACTTTTCACAATCGACATACAAATTTATTTTAAAAAATAACTCAAATTCAGCCAAAAGCAAACCCGTTCACTTTTAGCTAAATACATTTAAAAACCAGTCGCTTTTAGAAAACCGAATACTTGGGAAATCACGCTACCAACGATGCACAACGGGGAGCCCAGATCAGAGGTAAGCAACTACAGACCGTTCAGCATGACTAGCATTCTTCTCAAGGTGCCGGAATGGATCATTAGAGTCCGTTTTTGTAAGCACTGACTGGATAATTCTATCTTGTGCCCAGCTCAGCACGGGTTCCTGAAAAACAGGTCGTGTATCACTAATCTCTTGTGCTTCTTAGACAAAGTAACTCGCAGGTTGAATGAAGGCAAAGGCGTAGAGGTGTGCTGCCTTGACTTCAGTAAGGCGTTCGACTCCGTAAATCATCGCCTACTGTTGATCACGTTGAAAGCAGCCGGCATAGAGAAGCAGATATATAGCTGGATATCCGGCTTCTTAAGTGAGTGCTCTTTCTACGTAAGAGTAGGTAGTTCCAATTCGTCTGAGGAACATCACTAGTGAAGTATTTCAGGGAGCGGTACTTGGACCCATCTTATTCTTACTATTTATAGATGATCCAGTTCTGACGCTTCAGTCACCTTCCTTCGCGGACGATATGAAGGTCGTAGGGTCAACTGGGTGGGAGGATCTGGCCAGGGAGATTGCAGCAGTTCTAAGCTGGGCCCTCAAGTGAGAATTGCCACCGGGTGCTGGCAAAAGTTACCTGCTGTCACGAGCCAAATAAGGTGTCACAGTTAGTAACGTGGTAGGTTCGTTCACTAAGGAGGTGGCGAAAAATGTAAAATACTTACGAATCCTGGTAACTGATGACTTATGTGGTCGAATAAATGTGCTATAGTGGCACAGAAAGCTAGGGGTGAGTTATGTAGATTAAGGTCAGTGTTATCGTGCCGTAAACCTGAGGTATTCATACCTCTGTACAAGGCTATAGTGAGGCCCTACCTAGATTATCGTACCCAGGCATGGCCACCCTTCCACAAAAGGATACCGGCTATTTAGAGCGCGTTCAACGGCTAGAAACGAGAATGGTTGAGGGTCAGCGTGACAATGACTGTATGCAAAGGCTTAAAGACCTGGGACTATTTTCTTTAGACAAGAGAAGGTTCAGGGGAGATATAATAGAAACATTTAAGTTATTGCAAGGTACTAGGCCATAAACTCCATTCCAAGAAGTGCTAGATTCCCGTACAAGGCGAAACGAAATGAAGTTAGCCAAGACTCGGTCTCGATTGATCGCCCGGTCACACTTCTTCAGCAACAGGGTACTTCTTATTGAAACAGACTACCTATGGAGCTAGTAGAACTGCAGACCGTGCTAGCATTCACGACGGCCTTGAACGAACGGTGGTCTGAACTCGTTCCCGAAGTGGAGGAGTGATCATCCATTAGCTGACTTTAGAAAACTAGGGGAGTAGGAGCGAGGCACTCAGTTTGCATGCTTTTGTTTTGTTTCACTATTTATTGGAATATAACCTAGAAGATGAACGCCCACGTATAAAACTCTCTCGCCTTGGAGATGATATGAGGTATCTTTGCTTTTTCTTCCTATTTTCAGTCAGGAAGTTACGGAAACAGCGTGTGGTGGTAGAGAATTCCAAGTAATGCACACTCTGAGGGTGAAAGAATGACGCCGTCATTCTAATCGACATTTCTGGAGTACTAATTTGAATGAGTGCCCCCGCAAGTGAGTGTTTGGCGACAAGGAAAAGAGTGGACGACATGGGTGATCTGGGTTCTGCATCATTTAGTATACCAAGATCACGTCTCCTCGAATGCGGTGATACTGTGTGGAGTACAGTTGCAGTGCTTCCAGTCCTTCCGCATTACCCTTGAAATGCAGTTCTTTGACAATTTTGGTAGCCATTCCTTGCGGACGTTCAAGAATCTTCTGATCGCGTTGCAGCCATAGATTTCGTGATTAAATGGCGTACTCAACGTGGAGTTGAATGTAGGCTGATATCAATCGTGGGAATGGCGTAGGTTCACATTTACCAATTACTCGTTTTAGCAAACCACCAGCGGTAGACGACGGCCGGGGACAATTTGAAGAACAGCTTAGGTGGTCTTGAACAATAAAGCCAAGATCCTCCTCATTTGAGACGCACAGAAGTTGTTGATCTGCCAGGAAATACGGAAACCCGGTTTTATGTCGAAGGGATACGATCGTACATTTTGATGCATTAAATTCCATATTATTTTCTATCGACCATTGATAGGCAGCATTAAGTGTTCTTTGGAGTTCTAGTAAGTCCTCTGGTTTTGTCACCGTTTCCCATATGTTTGCATCGTCTGCAAACATTATTGTATGTAGCCCGAGAATGTCCGTTAGGTCGTTTATGAAAACAAGGAAAAGTTGAGGGCACAGCACGGATCATGTGAAACTCCTTGTGACACGCTGATGGGATCAGAAAGCGAACCACAAACCCGAAATGCCATGATGCGTTATCGAAGAAATTCTTCTATCCAGTACAAGTCCCCGACTTCCGTAGTTGTGTAGTTTCCTCAGCAGTATTTTGTGGTTCACTCGATCAAATGCTTTGGAGAAGTCGAGGTACGGGAAGTTCATTGCATCACCGTGATCAACTACTTTTGTCCACTCTTCTCGGGCCAGAAGCAGGTTAGTGGTACACGATCGTCTGCGACGAAACCCATGTTCAGCAGGGGATAATACGTTGTATTTTTCTAAGTGAATCATGATAAAGTCTGCAACAATGGATTCCATAACTTTGGATAATACAGGGAGGACAGTAACTGGGTGGTAGCTAGCTGGGTCGCTACGACAACCACCCTTGTATATCGGAGAGATTATCCCTTGTTTCCATGTTTTTGGGAGCGCAGTTTTGTTGAAAATTTGTAGTAATAGTTTGCTTAGTGGTTGAGCTAAGTTACCGGCCAGATTAATACGGGTCGTGGATGGATATTATCTACTCCAGAAGGTGAGTTCCTTTTCATAAACTGCAAACTCGATGCCATGATTTCTGGGGGGAAATAAATTGTGTTGAGCAGTGGATATCATGTATCCTCGAGTAACACAGGTAGCCGTAGTCCGGTGTTCGCAGGTGTGATGAACACCTGAGCGTACTGAAGGCTAAGCATTTCATCTGCCTCATTTGTTGTGACTGACATTTATTCTGCATTCTGGAAACAAAGGTAGAAACGCTGGCACCGCCAGGACACTGCATCTATAGGGCAGATCAAAATGACGGGCGGATTGGCGGAGGAGTAATGGTGGTGGTATACAACGGTCATAAGCAGTTAACTAGGGGACAATTAGTGACACCAAATATTCAGGCCACTTTGTGTTGCATAAAAGCACAAGGAAGAGATAACTGAGTAGCATTTGTATACAGAAACCCAGCATCACGTCAGGACGAAGATTGCCAGCTACTGTCATTCCTAAAGACTGTAGCGGAGAAGAACGGAATTGCGGTTATTGTTGGAGACTTCAACGCCCCTAAGGAAATGTGGGAGGAACTGATTGCTCCACGCAATACATTTGGGGACGATATAGTGAAGTTCGTATTAGACTTTGCTCTTGTTCAGCATGTCACAATTCCAACAAGGTAGCGGGTAGGGAATAACCCTGGGCTTCTGGACCTGGTGATCACGAAACATTCCAGCGAGGTCAACTGCTTGAGAATCACAGCACCACTTGGGCGGAAGGGCCATGGAGTTTTGCATTTCACCATCCCAGGTGTGATAGATGTGGCCCCACCGAAGCTGATAAGGGCTTATAATAAAATCGGTAAACCGCTTATGCTTGAGGCGGATGGAAGACTAGAATGGAACCTGCCGTACGGGAGCGTTGAGGAGGCTCACTGAGGAATTTGCACCACATAGAGCTATGAGAAAAAAGGGAAGGCCTGCCTGGTGAACCAGCCGGGCCAAAAAGGCACAGCAAATAAAAAAGCAAGCATGGAGGCGATTTAAAAGAAAAAAATAGCCATAGGTGCCTGGTACAATACCAGGGAAAAAGTGTAAGAGCTAAAAGAAATCAGATAGGTTGCTGCCTTCAACTTCAACGAAGACTTGCAAACAGAGCAAAGGTTTGCCTGAAGGCATACTACAACTATGTTTAGTCTAATGCAGCTACCAGAGTAGCGGTAGGATGCATAAGGAACGCTCGGGGCCAGCACGCCTTGACCAACGGCGAGAAAGCCGAGGAAATGCGTAGGTTTTTCGAAAGTATCCACGTACGAGACCCCGGTAAACCGCCCGGTAGAATGCTGATGAACTCAGTCCCCGTGATGAATGACTTCCATGTAACACCCGATGAAATAAGGGAAATAGTGCAAAGCCTTAATGTGCACAAGGCCGCAGGGCAGGATGGAATTGATTCCACCGTCCTTAAACCCATTCTGGCGATCGTGGCGGGACCCTTCGCGGAGCTGTTCAATTGGTCACTCCGTACTGCGCAGCTGCCTAGAGATTGGATAACGGCAATAGTTGTCTCCATTCACAACGGGGGCAATAGAAAACAGCCGGCAAATTACCGGCCAGTGAGCCTACATTCGGTTGTATTAAAGACATTCAAAAGGGTTATTAGGAACAAACTGGCCGAACACCTTACGAGAAATAGATTAATAGCCGATAAGCAGCACGGCTTCGTTAAAAGTAAATCCCGCTCAACCAACCTTCTGTTGTACCTGGATGAGGTCACGAGCCAAATTGATAGGGGAGAGTGAGTTGAGGTTTGCTACCTGGATTTTAGGAAAGCTTTCGACTCGGTAAACCATCGCTTCCTGATGCACAAGTTGGAGTGTCTCAGGGTTGCTCCGGGGGTAGTAGATTGGTTAGGAGCCTACCTGCACAACAGGACTTTTCGCGTGAGAGTAGACGACGGTGTATCAGGGTCTGCCGAAGCTTGCAGCAGGGTGCTCCAAGGTTCGGTGCTTGGTCCCATGTTGTTCCTCGTATACATCAACGATATGTTCCGTGGTCTGCACTAGTCGCTCTACTTTTTTGCCGACGACGTCAAAATCATAGGCTGGCCAGATGTGCCACAATTGCAAGAGGATCTGAACAAGATCCAGGAGTGGAAAGTTCAACAGGAACTCTCGCTGAACCTAAGCAAGTGCCAACAGTTATTTCAGTCGGTACAAATAGCGATGGGTGAAGAGCGACCACGGAAATTCATCTACCTCTAACGAGGAGCGAGGACATTAGGAAGTTGGGTATCGTCATAGACCAGACCTTCAAACCAACGTCTCAGTGTCTGGCAGCTGCGGCCAAAGGTAATAGTGCACTTCATCAACTCCTGAGGACTGTAGCCTCTCGAGAGGAAAAGTTGATGGTTCCGCTGTACAAAGCCCTTGTGAGGCCATATCTAGAGTACTGTGTTCAGTCCTGGTCGCCTTACTTGGCGAAAGACGTCAAGGTCCTGGAGGCGGTACAAAGAAGATTCACGAGGGTCATAGAAGGCATGAGTGGCGTTGCATACGGCGAGAGGCTCAGGAGGTTGAAGTTGTTCTCCCTCATGAGAAAGAGAATGCGAGGTGACCTCATAGAGGCCTTCAAGCAGCTGACCGGCGCCTCGGTAACAGAAACACCGTTGCTGCACCTATGCCACNGGCAACGGATGCAAATTGGAAAAGCCCAGGGCAACAAGGAGTTTTAGACCCCAGTTCTTTTCGTATCGAGTGATTAACGCGTGGAACCGGTTACCACAGCAAATGGTTACTGCTCGTAACCTTGGGGATTTCAAGCACCATCTGGACGAGGCATGGTCGGGTATATTTCCCGACGATGAATATGACTAACAACCTGGGACCATATACTTCATTCCCCGTAGGATACTCTAGGTTGCTAATCCTGAGCAGGTAAAAACAAGTATCTCGTCATAAATTACTTTCCTCCGTACGAAAACCGAAGGAGACAGGTGAGGACGAGAAATCCCATGTGTGCCTCTCACCAGCACGTCTGTGAGACCTAACGGCGCAGGAAGATGATGCGTTCATACCTCACAAACGAACAGCCACCCAGTGGAATGTGTGTGGTCCTCTCCACCGGATCTCGACATTTGCGTGGTAGAAGACCTGTAGTGAGCGGAGTTGGGGACAACAGACCCAATTACGACTTACTGAGGCATCCACTTCTCCGATTGAGCAACGACCCTGTGCCCATTGCGGACCTGGAAGAGAGAAAGAGAGGAGAGAGAATGAACAACAAAGGGTGGGTAGAGGTTCAAATGAAATAAAAAACAGGCACGCACCTGTTTCGACCAATAACGGATTGCAGCTCGGTCTGGTAGAGGAGGGAACAGAGAGACAACATCCCAACCACCACTATCCTCCTAAACGAGTTAGGCTGAGCCCTGGGTGGACTGCAGCTAATGCATCGTGCGCTTGGAACCTGACAGGGTCAGAGATCCTAGATGATGCTGATAGACTCAGAAGGCTTGATAGCGAGATAGTTTCCTGACGAATACCACCAACATATGACCCGATCCTCCGGTAATCTAGAAGCGATCGAGTTTAGGCTTGTGGATGAACAGGAAGATGTCTGAGTTTCTCACGTGAGCGTGTCTGAAAGTGTGTGTAGTTGAAAGATGAACACAGGAGACGCGGAGTCACAGATGACTGGAAGAGTACGCGGGTAGCTCGGACGATAGACACTATGATCTACTAAATCAGCTTAAACGAGGACCCTTCGAAATGCGTCCACCTAACATACCTTTCACTACCTCTTACTTAACACATTATTACAACTACTCTCTCTTGCACCCTACCGAGTATATCCGAACCCACCCGTAACTAGGAAACCGTCTAGGGTATATAATCGCTTCACCCCACTAACCGTTCAGCTAGGTGCATACCTAGACTGTAGGCACTCCATATTCTTTCTTTTCCTACATGTACTCCTTATCGGCAACAAACTATATCAGCTGCGGAAGTAGCAACTGATCCCGAAAGTTGCCCAAGTCGGCAGCCAGGGGCCCACAAAGCGGCTAGTGAAGGATACCATATTGTCAAAGCATACGTAGGCGAAAAAATATGCTCACAGTGCAAGAACCTGGACTCAAATTGGCATCAGCCGCAAGTCCTGTGACGTGACCTGACTTAATATCAGTCATCCGGGCTTGGTTCTTTAGTGCTTGCTTCCTTGGGCGTCGTCGGTCACTTATTTGGTCAAGCTGAACTGACCTTAACGCCGCGCGGTTTATTTTTTGCCATGAATAAATTTCTAGGACTTATTTTAGTTGGTGTAGAATGTTTTAGCTTACTTTTACATCTTCAGTGTTACTTTAGCTTTTTAGTGGTACTTTCTCAATTTACCGTTACTCATTCTGACTGTTTCACTCATATGCAACCGTACTTGTATACTATCAGAGTTGAAGAGTTTCCAGGTATTTTGGCATATCCAATTGCTATTAAATATTTTGATACGTATTGTTTTGCTATCAGTAACGAGAAAAATGGCATACAAGGAGAGTACATGGCTCTGTGGGGCCAGTTCATGTGCTGAGTCTGTAACCAAGGGCATACTGTGTGATAGATGCAGCCGATGGTATCATCTACCTGCTATGGGTTGAGTAAAAATATCTAAAGCTGTAAACTATGCACAAATCCCTCGGATGGATAAGTCGGCATTGCACTACCCTCGCGAATGAATACTCACGAATCCTCTGGGATAGTCTGAGCTATCCTTCGATGGATATACCCGACTCAAGAAAGAACTCTTCTGGAAACTGGCTACAAGTCAACCAAGCTGGAGAAAAGAATGCAAGGAATGCGTGGGCAAAGGTGGAAACCACATTAAGAAAGCCTGTACGTCAACCAATTCGCACTCGAGTGACGCGTGGCCGAACCAATACGAATCTCGAATTAAAAACACAATTGATCCGCAATGTTCTGCGGTACTGAATTAACAAAATCATTACAAAATGCACAATAAAGCAAACCTCAAATATGCGGCTAAAAGCACTCAAACAAGCGAGCCAAATAAGATGTCCAGAGAGAGGCAAA